AAGGAGTACCAGGAGCCCCCAGAAGAGGCCATCAGAGTCCCAAAAGGAGGGCAGCCCTGCTGGATTTCTGACTTCTAGCCTCCAGAACTGAGAACAACCTTCTGTTTGTTTTTAAGTCAATGCATTTAGAGTAAGCGCAGCCACAGGAAACAAATCCACCTCCACCCCTCACCAATGAATAATGGAATATGCAAAGAAAATGAAATTAAATCATTCACTCCAAATATTTGCTGAGCATCAATTGCATGCCACACGCAGTGGGAATCTTAGGGACACAGAGGCAGGCAGAACAACACAGAGCTCACACACCACGGCACCCACTCGGCCAGGCTCCCTTCTCAGGTCTTACAAAGTTATAAAACGACCATCGAAGGCTTCTTGGACCTACCAAGCCCCAGCACCGCTCAGGGTGACATACTGAGGGCCTTTCCCATCAGAGGGAAGAGGCACAAACCCCAAACTCCTCTCCTATCCACCTGCCTGTTCAGGAGATGTGACTCATGAAAAGAATCTTGCTGCCCTAATCACATCAAACTTTCTGTAAGAGCCAGATTTCTAAGATGCATTTCCAGGCTCTTGCACCAAGAGCTCATCACTCCCTTGACATCAACATAAAGTGAGCCTCGCACACACTAACTGGTTTTTCCAGTGTCTTAGCCTTCCCTGATGAAGAACACAAACCGTGCTGGCATGAGGCCCCCAAACTGTGAGTTTACTGATGCCCCGGTGCCGAATTAGCACTGACCCCAGGCTGTGCAGGGCAGCCCTCAGCTGTGTCAAGCAGAGGACACCTCTGGTCCCACATAGGGCAGTTTCCAAGCCCGAACATAAGGGCCAGCAACTTGCAGACCACAGCCATTAAGTGAGGCTTTAGGCCTGGGATCACGCCACGCCAGCCTCTGCCATCAGCAGCAGGGTCCTACTCCACATGCTTCCCCACAGAGTCTTCCTTCCTCTCTCACATACACTCTAGGGCTCCTCCCCAGCCACACTGCACCTCCCTGCCTCACTCAGACATCCAGCCACTCTCCCCATGCCTGCCTCAATGCCAACACCCTGGGACCAGACTGACCCCCCCACCCCACTCACAGCACAGTGCCATCCAGAAAACCATCAGAAGGCCACCATCCATGGTCACACACTAGCTGATGAGACTAGATGTACCCTATTTGGAAACTTGATACATGACAGTGAGAAAAAAGATGAGTCCATCTTTTTCCAACAGTGTGAGATAACTGGATATCCACATGGAAAAATAAGTCTGTATCTCACACTATACACAAATTAATTCAAGATGAATGAAAGACTTGAATATAAAAGCAAAACCTTAACATTTCCTTTTTGGTTCTGGCAGCTGGCCCCTTGACCTTGGTGTTAAAACTTTAACATTTCAGGGCCGGCCCGTGGCTCACTCGGGAGAGTGTGGTCCTTGATAACACCAAGGCCCCGGGTTCGGATCCCATATAGGGATGGCCGGTTCGCTCACTGGCTGAGCGTGGTGCTGACAACACCGAGTCAAGGGTTAAGATCCCCTTACCGGTCATCTTTTAAAAAAAAAAAAAAAAAAACTTTAACATTTCTAAAGAAAATATTAGACCACTTAATGACTGTGGGGTAAAAAAAGTTTTGTTAAACTAGAAACAAATGCACAAATCCTAAAGGAAAAACTGTTTTAAAATTTATGTCTTCTGGAATAAAAGGCAGGACAAAGTTTAGAAAAAGTTCCTGACTGGGAGAAGATACTTGCAGCAAACAAAACAAACAATGGATTGGTATACATAATATGTCCACAAATAAAGATGATCCTCAAATCAGTAAGAAAATCTCAAAAACACAGTATTAAACAAAAAAGGTACACTAGTATATATAAACTATTTATAAAATTTGAAGACATGCAAAACAATACTGTTCATTTTCATGGCATGGAGTAAAAATTTAGGAACATGCATGGGAATTACCGACAACAATTTCACAGCAGGGGTTTTGCTTCTGGAAGGGAGGAACAGCAATAGTGTTAGAAAGAGTTAAAACCAGAAGCAAATTTGCTACGTTGGGCACATGGGCATTTGTTCTCTTAAATCTGAAATTAAAATATCTCTCTCTCTCTCTCTCTCTCTCTCTCTCACACACACACACACAAAATCATAGAGTACAGGAAAATGTCTGGCGCGGCTGCTACTCTGTGCTGCATAATGGTGATGTGTTTCCAACCCTCTGGCCCCACCTTTGAGGAGGGTCCCAGGGTTCCCTTTCTCAGCAGTCACACCCCACTTGTGCCAGCTATGATGGGTGCAGGGGTAACACTCAACACATGCATTTTCACAACACCCTAAGACACTGCTACATCAAAAGCCCACTGCACCATCATGATCCTATTTTATTTAATAAACCCCCTTCTTAAACTTAAAACTTACATTTTTAAAGTGTGTATCATGCCTTCGTATAGAAAACCATAATCATACACCATAAATAAATGATAATTGTTCTTCAACATATTCCTAAAGCTAGGTTGGCGGAGGTAGACAGGAACTATACTGTGTGCGCAGGC